ACAGGAGGAGCCTGTTCCTAGTGCACGCATGAGAAGAGCTGCCAGAAGGCAGAAGCAGCTAAAGCAGAGAGAACAACTTGGGAGTAAGGCCAGGAGATGATTGGCCCCTCCCATAAGGCTCCCAAAAGACCAGCAACGGCTCTTGGCCTCTTTGCTGGAAAACAACGTTGAGAGATTTGCTTCTTGTTTCACTGTGTTCATTTCTTGTCGGCGTCTTCTGTTCCTGAACTTTTGCCAAGAGAAGCCTTTGGCAGTTTGCCTAACTATCTCAAGGTCGGTGATAAACTTCTCTTCTCACCCAAAAAGCTTCTTCAGCTCTGAAGATTCAGAAGAAGCTTCTTGGATGGGAAGCAAAACGTCTTCAAAGAAAAAACAAGAAAGTCCAGTTGCCTCTTGAAAAAACAACTTTGGGACAACCATGACCTGGAGGACTTGAGAATCTCCATAGACAAGGGGTCAGCAGTCCGTGGCTCTGGAGCCACATGTGGCTCTTTCATCCCTCTGCTGCGACTCCCTGTTGCTGGTCGGCTCCACAATTGATAGGGCTTTCGGTTAGGACAGGTAGAGGAAAAAGGACGCCGTGCTAGGACGAGACTATGATGGGGGAACTGGACTTCCGGTCGGCTCCAGAATTGAACGGGGGATTCCGGTTAGGACCTTTGTGGCTCTTTGAGTGTTTAAGGTTGCCGATCCCTGCCATAGACAAAGAGACAGGTGGAAGAGTAGAATTTCTGAGCCAATCCTATTGATCTTCACCTGGAGCTTTCCCCAACTTTTTATTCTCGCTTCAGGATGACTTTGTCCTGCTGTTTGCTTTGCCAGCTCTGCATCGCCATCGATTTGGGGCCGTTTGTTTGCAGGGCTACAGATATCCGCCTAGAAAGAGCTGCGGTGGGTCAAGGGACCATCCATTATTAATGGACTGGTGGTGCGGGAGGCTCTTTGGGGATGGAGAGCAGGAGGGGAAGTGTCCAAGATGAAAGGAGGGAGGGAGGAGGGTCGTGATCAGGTGGTCCGCCTCTTTACCTAGAGGGAGAATGGCTGGCTGAAGTAACACGGAGCCAATTACGGAGTTCGAAATGCCAGCAGCTACACTTAAGGAGACGAAGGAGCAGTTTAAAAAGAAGGGGTGGAGAGAGAGAGAGAAAGAATAGAAGTGAGACCAAGAAGGAGGGGAGGAATGAGGTGGGAAGGTTAGGAAGATATAGGCGAGCTGTTACTTCTTCCTCTCCACCCCTCCCCTTCAAGCAAGAACCTCATTAACACATCGCGGGAGGGCCAACCTGAGGTTCCATTAAAAGAGCCTCTCCAGCCGGCGGGTGGGTGCGGCAGGCAGCCGAGAGGCCATGATCAAATGGCTTGAAAGAAACCGTCATTAAATTTTCATCGGCTGATTGCCCGGAGAAGAGGCAATTCTGGGCTGAGTGGATCACAGGGGAGGTGGCTGGCAGAGGGGCCTCTCTCTCTCTCTCTCTCTCTCTCTCTCTCTCTCTCTCTCTCTCTCTTTCTCTCTCTCTATCTCTGTGTGTGTGTTGGGGAGGGCAACACAAGGAGCTTTCAAAGATATGGCAGGGGAGATGGATTAGAGACAGAGTTGAAATCCAGCAGGTTCTGACAGGTTCTGGAGAACCGGTAGCGGAAATTTTGAGTAGTTTGGAGAACCGGCAAATACCACCTCTGGCTGGCCCCAGAATGGGGAGGGAATGGAGATTTTGCAGTATCCTTCCCCCAGGAGTGGGGTGGGATTTTGCCATATCCTTCCCCCAGGAGTGGGATAGGAATGGGGATTTTGCAGTATCCTTCCCCTGGAATGGGGAGGGAATGGGGATTTTGCAGTATCCTTCTCCTGGAATGCGGTGGGAAGAGAGATTTTGCAATATCCTTCCTCCAGGAGTGGGGAGGGAATGGGGATTTTGCAGTATCCTTTCCCTGGAGTGGGGAGGGAATGGGGATTTTGCAGTAACTTTCCCCTGCCACGCCCACCAAGCCACGCCCACAGAACCGGTAGTAAACAAATTTGAATTCCACCACTGTTGGAGAGGGGCAAGGTTAAGTCCTTGACGGTTGGTAGATATACTGTAAGAAATATCTCATCATCCGGTTCTCCAGCTCCGCTCCAGAAGACAGCAGGGCGCAGCAGGTCTGCCAGCTAAATCCTGGCGTGGGTGGGGGGATGTTCAGCAGACATTTTTTTGAAGCTAGTGATCAGCTGCCTCAAGACACGGGATTTCTCTCCTGGACTGGAAAGAGAAATAGTCGGGAATAGTCGGGTTGTAATTATTATTACACGAAGAACAGGGTCCACCTTTGAGTCCAATCATGTTCATCATCATTTTTGCTTTTGGTTTTTGGTTTTGATGCTTTTGGGGGCAGCCGTTGGTAAGGGGGGGCCTCGTCAAAGAGGCATGTCCGCCTACGTGAACGAGAAGGAAAATGAGAGTTGGCATCGAATAATCCCTTTTCCTTCCTTCCTTCCTTCCTTCCTTCCTTCCTTCCTTCCTTCCTTCCTTCCTTCCTCCTTCCTTCCTCCTTCCTTCCTTCCTCCTTCCTTCCTTCCTTCCTTCCTTCCTCCTTCCTTCCTTCCTCCTTCCTTCCTTCCTTCCTTCCTCCTTCCTTCCTTCCTTCTTTCCTTCCTTCCTTCCTTCCTTCCTTCCTCCTTCTATATATCCCTCTTTCCTCCCTCCCTCCCTCCCTCCTTCCCTCCTTCTATCTGTCTCCTTCCTCCCTCCCTCTTTCCCTCCTTCTACCTTTCTCCTTCCTCCCTTCCTCTCTCCCTCCCTTCTTCTGTCTCCCTTCTTTCCTTCCTTCCTCCCTCCCACCCTCCCTCCTTCCTTCCCTCCTTCTATCTGTCTCCTTCCTTCCTTCCTCTCTCCCACCCTCCCTCCTCCCTCCTTCTGTCTCCTTCTTTCCTTTCTCCTTCTATCTGTCCCCTTCTTCCATCCCTCCCTCCTTCCTTCCCTCCTTCTATCTCCTTCCTTCCATTCTTCTTTCCTTCCTTCCTCCCTCCTTCCCTCCTTCTATCTGTCGCCTTCCTTCCTTCCTTCCTTCCTTCCTTCCTTCCTTCCTTCCTTCCTTCCTTCCTTCCTTCCTGAATTGCTCCTGAATTGGGATGTCAGTTGCATTTTCATGCTTGCAATGGAAGGATATAATGACGTTACATCAATTATCTCTCTCCCAAACACATTGGTCATGAAGGAAGTTGCAATTTCTGATCTAATTAATTGCTGCATTTTAAGAATCCGTACAGAAGAGCAAGGGGGGAAAAAATGAGCATGAGCTGAGATGTATGGAAAGAGGATACTTCTGCATGACAGTATTTGGCTCCTGAGGATGATGGTTTCTGTGCGAGCTTCTTGATGGCTTTCCCTCCACTTCTCTTCCTCCTTTCCCAGTCTGCTTGCCTCTTTCTTTCTCTATTCCTGCATGGATCTGTTCTTCTGTACTTGGTAAGAGGCATTAATGCAGTCGGATAGTAACATGCATAATAATCACCATCTCCAGGGAGTTGAAATGCTGTGGTGAGAATGAAGTGTAAATGATGGCATTGATTAGTTGGAATCAATAGAAATCCAAAACTAAAAAGCAGTCGCCGCAGACCCAGGTAGAATATGGATGTTTCTCAGTAAGGAATATTTATAGATTTCCTATTCCTGCATCCAGATAAAGAGAAATAAGCACACAGAATTCATGTCCAACATGCTCCATGAGCTCAGCAGGTCCATTCACTTGTTCTACTTGTGGTTAGTCAAGGAATCCAAAATTGGTAATCCAGCCTGAAATATCTGGCCGACTGTGCCGTGAACCACAAGAATAACAATAATTTGCAGCAATTTTCTCATCAAGGATTGGTTGGACAATTTTTTTTTTCATCCATCCAGTTTTACCATGAGAGGAGACCACAGAACTTTGATGCAACAAAACTCTGGCCTTTGGAAGGACTTTCTCTGTAGGAATGGTATGGAAAAACCCAAGGAATTCATTAGCTTCCCAAAATACAGCTGTTTGTCTTACCCCAATGCAGGACTGAGACCGAAAGGTTTGAATAAATTAGGGAATAGACATCACTCATGTTCAGAGCCCAGCTCTGCATGCAAGAAAACCCAGTAGCTTAGCTCAGCATTTCTAAGTTGAGATGGGAAGGATATTTTTTTAAAAAAATCTGAAACCGTGGGGAGCTCCTGCCAATCAATGCAAATTATATTAGGGCTGTAAAATAAATTACACCAGGTCTGGAAATAAGTTATGGTAGAGAGGTAAAATAAATGATTCTATGGATGGAAATAAATTACGCCAGGGAGGTCGAATAAATCTGCCATGAACGTTGCGTAGGCTGCACCAGAGAAGGTCTGTGGCCATCTTTCATACTTGGCTGGAGAAGTTCTGCAAATTGAAATGCTGATCTGGCAAAACGCCATTCAAGAGAGCAAGTCTAGGCAAACGTTGCGTGCAAAACCTTTGTTTGGGAAATTTATATGAAAAATAGGTTGGAGGCGTTGCATACAAAAAGTAGAAATGATCCCATAGGTAGCTACATAGACTAAAATGTCAGGGTATCTGTTAAGGCAGCTATGTTTACTGAAGGAACGTAGAAATCAGCAAACATTACTAGAAAGATTGGCTAGGCTAGGCTAGGCTAGAACAGAACAGAACAGAACAGAACAGAACAGAACAGAATAGAATATAGAAATGAATAGAATAGTAATAGAGTAGAGTAGAGTAGAGTAGAGTAGAGTAGAGTAGAGTAGAGTAATAAAATAGAATATAGAGTAAAATATAGAAATGAATAGGAGTAGAATAGAATAGAATAGAATAGAATAGAATAGAATAGAATAGAATAGAATAGAATAGAATAGATAGAATATAGAGTAAAATATAGAAATGAATAGGAGTAGAGGAGAGTAGAGTAGAGTAGAACAGAACAGAACAGAACAGAACAGAACAGAACACTACCTACCAAGCACCCAAATTATGTCATGTGTTCCCTTCTTCTCCATTTGTAGCAAAACCACTTCAGAAGAAGACAGCAAACAGCCGGCTCAGGCAGTGACCCATGTGCCTGCACAACCCACATACGCTCCAACCTGGGAGGAAAGAGTGACCGTGGAAATTGACTCCATCAAGGCAGGAGAAGAAGGTGGGACCACTTTGGAAAATCTGAGAAACTTGGTAGGACTGAATGAATGGAAGAGGAAAAAGAATCAACCTGAAACAAGAAGGATAGATTCAGTCATGGTGGTGATGGGGGGGGGGAAGGTTGCAAGCTCTTAAGGATCAGGTTGGAGCGGGGTGTGAGGATCCTAGAGAACACCTACATGGTCCTTAAGAGTTGATGCCAACTTGTTGGCACTTAATCAATCAACGGAATGCAAGATTTAAAAAAGGTTTGTGTGCCAAACTGAACTGAATTCGGTGGCATAAACATATGACATGGTACCCAGCTAGCAGATTGTGTATAGAGTACTAGCTGATAACCTGGCATTGCCTGGGTATTTATTTATTTATATTTATTTATACACACACTCAAACACACACCGAGGAGTGTTAGGGATGTCTTACCTCCACAGTATTTTTATCCAGAGAGTAGGTCATCTGTGTACCAAGTTTGGTTAAAATTGCTTGAGGCATTCCAGAGTTATGCTGGAAGACACACACACACACCGAGGGATGTTAGGGATGTCTTACCCCCCATAGTATTTTTATCCAGAGAGTAAGTCATCTGTGTACCAAGTTTGGTTGAAATTGCTCGAGCCATTCCAGAGTTATGCTGGCACAAACATACATACATACATACACACATACATCCTTTTTATATATATAGAAGATTGCTCCTGAATCCTTCCTCTCTCCATCAAGCAAATGAGTCTATATTTAATAATTATCTACTAAATAGCCCCGCTTATCTCCAAGCTAGGAAACAGGATCCGTGCTCTGCTGTCCCTGTCTCTTTCCCTCCTAGCTCTGTTGCTTACCTTAATGGGGAAATGATGATTGATAATTGAGGTAGTTTTCCCAAGACGGGTAGCCATTCGTCCTGGTGACTTGGTCTTTATTCTCCCAAGCTGAGCGATGTTATGTGGGTAATCATAATAATACTAATGGCATTAGAGTTAGCAATTAGATTAATGCCAGACGCTGGCGAAACGAAGCCAGCGGCAGTCAGTCAGTCCGTCGTAGCACTCCAGGTAATTCCATTAAGGGCTCCTGATTCAGTGAAACAAGACAGTGTTTGATGTACTTCGCTACCTATGTCAGCCCAGAAGGAAGAGACAGGGGTCTGCAGAATTTCGAGGTTAGGTCCCTTTGGTTTAATCCAGTTGCCTAGACAGACAAGGCAGGCAACGGGGCCTAGGGGCATCTACAGGACAAGTCAAAAGAGTCAAGTTGGGGGGCCATGACCTGCAAGTCAGAGACCTGCTCCTTTAAGGATGCAGCACCCCAAAGGACACCCCCACGAGACCTGGAGATTCCCTCCAAGAAAAAGGAAAGCATCTTCAGCAAAAGACATGTCAAATGCTTCTGCTGAAAATAAAGTTTTCCCTATCCAATCTAGGGCATGGTGCCCATCTTTGCTTCTTGGCATTGTCCAAAGTCAACGCTGTGGTCATGTGGCCAGCAAGGCTATACTGCCAAAGGCTCATGGAACGCTGTTACCTTCTCATCAAAGTGGTACCTATTCCCGGGAGTGCTTGCGGCACACTTGCCCCAATATCCTCCATTCGAGGGTTGGGATCTGTTCCGCTATGCTTCCACCCAGGGGTGAAATGCTACCGGTTTGCTCCAATTCAGGTGAACCGGTAGTTAAAAAAAGCTACCAGCTTGGTCGAACCGGTAGTTTAAAAAAAGCTACTGGTTCCTTTGAACCGATATTTCCGATGATCAGCTGTGTTGCGCGGTTCTAGTGAAGCTAAATCATGCGGCACAGCTGATCCCCCCTCGCTGTTCTACATACCTTCCCAAGCCTCCTTTTGGCACGTACAGCGCACATTTGGTGCGCACCACACATGCGCACCACACAAGCGCACACACATGCACAGTGCGCATTTGGCATGCAGAACAGATGCACGGCCAGCAAACCGGTAACTAACCAGTTCAGATTTCACCACTGCTTCCATCCATCTGCATTTCCAACAGCATCGCCCCAGTCATTATCTCCTGGAGTGGCGCGGCGCCCACAGAGCTGGCGCCCAAAGAACTGGCGCTGGTTGCTCAAGCGCCAGCTCTTTGGGCCAGGCAACCAGCTCCCTAGACTCTGGGGTGCTATCCGGGGTCCTGAGCCCCGAATGTTGACCTGGAACTAGGCAGCGTGAAGACTCAGGGAAGATGGAGGAAAACCAGGCAGCCATCTTTTGCATTAGGCCTTCCGGCCTGTCACTTGCATTTGCCTGCTTTCGAACTGCTAGTTTGCAGGAGCTGAGGGGCAAGGAACAGGAGCTCATCCCATCACATGGCGCTGGTGCCTCGAACCCAGGCTGTCAGTTTTCCAGCTGTCAAGTACAGCGTCTTTAATCGTTGAGCCATCATGCCCCCGCTTATGCTCCCGATAGCAAAAAAAAAAACCATCGGTCCCTAAGTTTAGGAAAAGAAGAGTCAAGGTACTAAGTGGGGTGTCATCTTTTCTTCTCTGATCAAGAGGTTGTGAGGTTAAGTGGTGGCTATCACGGTGACATCCAGGTGGCGACTGAAGTCACAGCGTTCTTGGAGTTAGTGATTGCAATCAGAAAAAAACCGAATAGATGGGAGGGATCTCGAAAGAGAGAGAGAGAGAGAGAAAGAAGAGGGAGACACAAAGAAATCCATGCATTGGGCAGGATCCAAGCAGACTGTTGCTCCGTGGATATCTATTCAGTCATAGCTATGTGGTGCCTCTGCCCCCTCCCTTCTCCAGTGGGGTCACAGGGAAAGCAACTGGCAACTAATGATTGAGGAAATGAGGGTCTATTCTTCCATTGTCAAGGCTCACAGGAGAGGCAGGCCTTCCTTCCTGGGCAAGGGATTGGAGGGACAAAGAATAATGGCCACGGCGAGAACAAGACTGCTGGGGGAAGATAATGAGACAGGCGGGAAGACAGGCTGGGGAGCATCTCCAGACACAAAGCAACAATGGCTTGGAACTTCCTAATAAGGTCAGATCTGAGCTTCAGCTGGTTCTCAGAAAGCTCAGAAAATGCTATGGAGGCTTAGGCGAAGATAACAAGGCCAGCAACATGGTTAAGGGAGAAGAGGCTGATGTCTATGTAACCCTAGTTAGTCCTTCATCCATTCTACCTTCCACCTCTTCTTCCATCCCACATTCAACCAATGCTTATGGAGAGTCTCGGTCATTCAGGTCATGGTTGACCCAAAGGTTCTTTTCCAATGGCAACTGGACTTCCTTGCATTTTTTCCCCTTGAAAATAGAATAACAGAGTGGGAAGGGACCTTGGAGGTCTTCTAGTCCAACCCCTTGCTTAGGCAGGAAACCCTACATCACTTCAGACAAATGGTTATCCAATCTCTTCTTAAAAACTTCCAGTGTTGGAGCATTCACAACTTCTGGAGGCAAGTTGTTCCACTGATTAATTGTTCTAACTGTCGGGAAATTTCTCCTTAGTTCTAAGTTGCTTCTCTCCTTGATTAATTTCCATCCGTTGCTTCTTGTCCTGCCTTCTTGTGCTTTGGAGAATAGCTTGACTCCCTCTTCTTTGTGGCAGCCCCTGAGATGTTGCAAGACTACTATCATGTCTCCCCTAGTCCTTCTTTTCATTAAACTAGACATACCCAGTTCCTGCAAATGTTTCACTTCTTATAGGTGAAGCTTCTTGGATGAGAAGCAAAACATTTTCAAGGAAAAAAACAAGGAAGCCCAGTTGCGTTTTGAAAAGCACCTTTGGGACATGCAACCAATGGCTTCTCCTTCCCCTTTTCTTTAGCAATGATGCCAACATCTCTTTTACCTGGCCTTCAGCTTTGGGAACTCCCTCAGAATCCATCATCTTGGTTTCTCTATCTCTCAAGGAAGCATAGCAAGAGATAAAATAGAATTTCTGGTGTTGCATTTGGAACTCTTCTATCATTTCTGCACATTTTTTCTTTCTGCTCCTGAACTCCAGGGACCGGTTGTGTGGTTGGATGAATTTTTCATGATCTAGATCAATCTCAAGTTGGCACAAGAGAATGGCCTGGTCATCCGAGATCAACCGATCATAAAAAATAAGAGCCTTTGGAACTTATTTTAGTAGGTCAGGAAAGGTGAAGAGGGCGTGAGCCAATAGTCCACCTACATTTCTGGTACTTCTTTGTTGTTGTTGTTTGTGTTGTTCCAGTTGAAAGAACAGAAAAAGTCTATTTCAACTTATCAAATTCTGAAAAGTCCCTATTTTGGGTCCACTAAAAAGATTGAACTCTCCTCCACTCCATTTTCATAAAAATTTGGTTCAACGTTCGTTGTCTGGCTTTGCTTTCATAGTCTTAAACTATTTGGTTTCTTATTCATATTGAAGTCTTAGCTATTAGGGGGTTCTATTTTTGATGGAGCAGTAAAAAAAATTTTTTTAAATTCTATAATGCCCCAATTCTCTAATTGTCTAAGAAATGCCTTTAATGTTTGACGTTCGGTTTTTATTTTAATAGAGCGCTATTGCAATTCCTTCCCTTCCTTTCCCTTCCCTTCTTCCTCCCCTCCTTTCTCCTCCTCTTCCCCACATCTCTGACAACATTATATATAAAAAAATAAAGGTGGGATAGAAAAAAATAAATGAAACATACGCAAATGTGTTAGAAAGGAAGAGAAAGAAAAGACTTCGGATGACTTCGGATGGGAATAGAACTAAAGGTGTATTTTTGCAGATAAAAATGCAAACATTTACAATCCCTTTAAGGGTTGTTTTTTTTTTAGTTCTTTATACCACAGCCTAACATAGCTATTCCCTGTGGATATCCCCCACCCCAAAAAGATGTAAATTCCAAACCAAAATGGATACACCATCAACTATTTATCACACCTTCGTCTTCCCTTCGAGTAGTGCCTGATTACAGTTCAGCACCAAGGACAGAGCTCTCTGCTCAAGGGACAAGAGACATCCCGAAGGACCGGAAGCCTCTTCAGGCCCCTTTTCACACGTAAAACTAAGAATAATGAGTTTTTATCAAGTGAACGGGAGCTTGTTTTCTTCGCCTGGGCCTTTTGTGCCACACAGCTTTTAAAACTCTGCTTAGCGATGTTAGAAACTCATAAGGATGATAATTGGCGAGATTAGAAATTAGCACACGGGTGGCTTGTCTCAGATGACAATACAATGGTTTTCCTACTGCAATTATAGTGCAGGAGGCATGTAAAGGGATGGTTATTAAGATATCTGTCTGTCTGTCTGTCTATCATCCATCTACATCCCCCGCCTGTGTGTGTGTGTGTGTGTGCGCGTGTGGGCGCGTGCAATCTTGATCTCTCTCATCTCTCTATATCTCTATATCTCTATATCTCTATCTATCTATGTATCTATCTATCTATCTATCTATCTATCTATCTATCTATCTATCTATCTATCTCTTCTATATCTATCTATCTCTATCTATTTATCTGTCTCTATCTATCTCTATCTGCTCTCTCTCTCTCTCTCTTTCTCTCTCTCTCTCTCTCTCTCTCTCTCTATATATATATATATATATAGAGATAGATAGATAGATAGATATAGATATAGATATAGATATAGATATAGCATATATATATGCTATATCTATCTATCCATCCATCCATCCATCTATCTATCTATCACCCACATATCCCTCTTTCTCTCTTCTCTCTCTCATCTCTCACTCATCTATCGTCATCATATCCCTCTTTCTCTTCTCTCTCTCTCTCCCCTCATATCCCTCTTTCTCTCTTCTCTCTCTCTCATCTCTCATCTATCACCATTATATCCCTCTTTCTTTCTATCTATCTATCTATCTATCTATCTATCTATCTATCTATCTATCTATCTATCTCCCACCTCTCTCTCTCTCTCTCTCTCTCTCTCTCTCTCTCTCTCTGTTATCTCTCTCTCTCTCTCTCATCTCTCTCTCTATTTCTATCACCATCATATCCCTCTTTCTCTCTCTTCTCTCTCTCATCTCTCTCATCTATCTACGTTGGTAGCATTCTGAGCTCTCAGTAACTAACAAGCATTTGGGGTGGGTCCATGAGAGTTAAATGAATGAAAACAGAAATCAGTTTTGCAACAGCTAGGAAAAGATAGATATTTGGTTCTCTTTTAAATTTTAAAACAGGCGCTCTGCTCTAATTTTTACCGGAGTAGCGTCTTTTAGACAAGGGCTGTTAATCCAGCCGACTCCATTATTTTTTGGATCTCAATCAGCTGCCACCCTCCCCATTGAAAGCCTCGGTTGCTCCCCAGAGCAGGGGAAACAATATAGAAATGACCAAAGAATCTGCATGGGGGTGTTTTTTTTCTTTCTTTCTTTCATGTGCCTAATAGCTCCCCTGGGGGGAGATATTTAGATTGGGAAAATGGCAGGAAAGGCTGGGAGATTAAATGTCACCGCTCTGATCAAAAGCAGCAGCCTGGCGCCCCGTTTGCTTTCAAGGAAAGAAAATAAAAAGGAAAAGAGCTGACCAGATTTCTCCCGCGTTTAGCTAAGTTCACTGGCAATTTTTGGTGACCTCATCTGACCGTCTTTGTCTACCCTTTTCCTCTCTTTCCAGATGTGTCTCTCATTGTAGCTGACAAGGACTCCAAAGAAATTCTTGCGAAATACAACATCCCTGTGAAATACCTCCGTCCTTTCCATCATTATCACTGTGCCTTGGTGCTGGTGAGTCATGCAATCCAGGGGTGCCCAACCCTCCGGCCGCAGACCGGTACTGGTCCATGGCCTGTTAGGAACCGGGAAGCCCAGCTGGAGGTGAGCAGCGGGTATGCGAACCCTACTGTAAACTGTGCATGCGTGGGATCTAAGCTGCATGCTTCTCCTCTCCACCCATCATCCCAGTCCATGGAAAAATGGTCTTCCATGAAACTGGTCTCTGGTGCCAAAAAAAGATTAGGGGACCGCTGACGTCATCTACCTGTTTAGACTTTAAAGGAGAATGTTTGCAGTTGAAAGGAGGGGTTATACTGCTGATGTTATTTGGTTTGTTACCTAGTTGGGTAATGAAACATCTGCAAGAAAACAACCAAGCTCAGAGAGCATCAAGGACCCCACAGTTCTCCCCCTCCTCCTCCTTCTCCTCCTCCTCCTCCCCCTCCTCCTCCCCCTCCTCCTCCTCCTCCTCCTTTCCACAAACTCCACTCCCTTCTAGTTGAGTAATGAAACATCTGCAAGAAAACAACCAAGCTCAGGAAGCATCAAGGACCCCACAGTTCTCCTCCTCCTGCCCCTCCTCCTCCTCCCTTCCACAAACTCTACTCCTTTCTAGTACTGATGATGTTAACTAGTTGGGTAATGAAACATCTGCAAGAAAACAACCAAGCTCAGGGAGCATCAAGGACCCCACAGTCCTCCTCCTCTCAACAAACCGCACTCCCTTCTAGTACTGATAAGTACTAGATAGTACTGATAAGAGAGAGCTGAAAGCACTGTGAAGTGGTATATATGTCTAAGTGCTATTGATAGTGCCCTTCCCTCCTTCCTTCCTTCCTTCCTTCCTTCCTTCCTTCCTTCCTTCCTTCCTCCCTCCCTCCCTCCCTCCCTCCCTTCCCTTCCCTTCCCTCCCCTCCTTCCTTCCTTCCTTCCTTCCTTCCTTCCTTCCTTCCTTCCTTCCTTCCTTCCTTCCTTTTCAGTGGTTAGAATGCAGTATTGCAGATTAACTCTGCCCACAGTCTGGAGTTTGATCCTGACCAGCTCAAACTCCAGACTTCATCAGACATCAGCCTTCCATCCTTCCAAGGTCTGTAAAATGTGGACCCAGATTGTTGGGGGAAGAGGCTGACTCTGTAAACTGCTTAGAGAGGGCTGGAAAGCACTGTGAAGCAGTATATAAGTCTAAGTGCTATTGCTATCTCTGTACTTAAATACAAACACACAATCAAAAGAGGACGCTCTTCTCCAAAGTCATTGCACTGGCAAGCTAGCTCATCTAGAAGAAAGCTACCCGAGATTGCTGGGACCCTAACATTTGAGCCATTCTACTTCTTTGCGCTGCGGCAACAATTTCTTCACTTCAAAGCTTTCCCACCACCAAAGGGGAGGTGGGGACAGGGCATGCTTCCAGATGGCTAATGTTCCTAGCAAAAGCAAACAAAACCCATTTGCAATCTAAACACCAAAGAGAAGCCATTAGGAGAACAAAATAGCAGATGCGGACCAGATGTTGAGATGGCTGCAAGAGAATATCCCCCATGGATGAGAACTTGGACGGGATGATTTTAACCTGTCGTTGAAAAGCTGGGGGGGAAAAAACCCACAACTCGGAGCGCTACGTTCTACCAAAAAACAATGGCTACCAACCTGCCTTCCGTTGAGGACCTGTATACTGCACGAGTCAAAAAGAGGGCTGTGAAAAAATCTACAGACCCCTCGCATCCTGGACATAAACTGTTTCAACTCCTACCCTCAAAACGACGCTATAGAGCACTGCACACCAGAACAACTAGACACAAGGACAGTTTTTTCCCGAACGCCATCACTCTGCTAAACAAATAATTCCCTCAACACTGTCAAACTATTCATTAAGTCTGCACTACTATTAATGTTCTCAACGTTCCCATCACCCATCTCCTCCCACTTATGACTTTATGACTGTAACCTTGTTGCTGTTATCCTTACGATTTATATGGACTGTTTCCTAATATGATTTGATTGCTTATTTGTTCCCTATGACTATCATTAAGTGTTGTACCTTATGATTCTTGACGAATGTATCTTTTCTTTTATGTACACTGAGAGTATATGCATCAAAGACAAATTCCTTGTGTGTCCAATCACACTTGGCCAATAAAAAATTCTATTCTATTCTATTCAAACCCAAGTTCCGTCACCAAAAAGGTTTTGTTCTCAAATGCTCTTTGCAGAGAATACAACGTCTACAGGGGGAGCGAGCTCTTGTTGCTGGTCAGGCTGTTGAAAATCCACCAGTTCAAGGGGTCTGCTTTGCCCGTCCCCTCCTCACCCTTTGCCCAATTTTTGTTGAAGAAGGCACATTCCCTGCTTGCTTGGAGGGGCTTCCGTTGCTCAGCCAAGCAAAGGAGGGAGAGGGAGAGAGAGAGAGAGAGAGGCAAAACTCTCCCTGGCCCCGTTACTAATCTTTGCGGCATCAAAGGCATTAAAAGGAACAACTTGACATTCAAAGGCAGCTAAAGAAACAGCCTGACATGTTTGCTTTTCCGCATGAGCAGTGAAAGGGAAGGGGGTGGGGGCACGGCTGGTGGAGAGTGTGTGAAAACGGGCAGAAGGAATGAGAGGCCCAAAGTGGAAGAAAGACACAAAAATAGCAGCGAGAAAACAGGAGTGGAAGAGAAGGAGCAGCGAAGACGGAGACATCTATCTGTCCATCCATCCATCTATCCATCCATCCATCCATCCAGGATCAAGGAGAGAAGCAACCTAGAATTAAGGAGAAATCTCCTGGCAGTGAGAACAAATAACCAGAGTTGCCTTCAGAAGTTGTGAATGCTCCATCACTGGAAGTTTTTAAGAAGAGATTGGACAACCATTTGTCTGAAGTGGTGTAGGGTTTCCTACCTGAGCAGGGAGTAGAAGACCTCCAAAGTCCCTTCCAATCCTTTATTCTGTTATTCTCTTATCCATCCATCTCTATCCATTATATGTCTGTCAGTCAGTGTGTCTTCATCCAGCCATCCATAATCTATCTCTCTCCATCCATCTCCATCTCCATCTCTCTCTCTATCTTCTATCGATCTCCATCCATCTTTCTCCATCCATAATCTATCTATCTATCTATCTATCTATCTATCTATCTATCTATCTATCTATCCTGTTTCCCCGAAAATAAGACATCCCCTGTTAATAAGCCCAATCAGGCTTTTGAGCACATGTGCTAAATTAAGCCTCCCCCCGAAAATAAGCCCTCCCCGAAAATATTTAAAAGCAGAGCTGGAAATCAGGTAAGACAGCAAGGAGCCCCATCTTGCTCCACACGCCCAAAATAATAAGACCTCCCCGAAAATAAGGCCAAGCACTTATTTCGGGGTTAAAAAAATATAAGACAGAGTCTTATTTTCGGGGAAATATGGTATCTCTCTCTCTCTCTCTCTCTCTCTCTCTCTCTCTCTCTATCTATCTATCTCTCTCTCTCTCTCTCTCTCTATCTATCTATCTATCTATCTATCTATCTATCTATCATATCCCTTCCTTCCTTCCTTCCTTTCTTCCTTCCTTCCTTCCTTCCTTTAATTCTTCTTTCTTTACATCTGTATAACTGTATCAATCAATCAGTCATTGGACCAATTGTTCTACCATTCCATTGTTCTATCAGCATTGTATTATCTGTGTTCATTTATTCATTTTCCTAGCATTCTATTGTTCCATTATTTTATTGTTCTATCTAACCTCCATTTATGTAAAATACATATCCTGTTTTCCTTCCATCAAATACCGCTCCCTCTTTCTACAGTAGCAAACTCAAGCCGTGTGTGAGAAATGAGATCAACAATTGAGTGTGTTCTGAGATTGAAGAAGTACCAAAAAAAAAAAAAGAAAAGAAAAGAAAAGAAAAAAAGAAAAGAAAAGAAAAAAGAAAAAAAGAGGAAATTTAAAGGAGAAAAGAAGACTTCATAGAATATGTCAATGAAGTCCAGTTTGGGCTTCGGGACTGCCTCTTGAGTCAAATCCCAGGTCTGGCTGGATGCTGGAGAAAGCTTTTGTTCCAAGATGAAACTATAGAACAAACAGAGGAAAACTCAGTACCATCCCTTGCGTCATCTGAGAATGGATACCTACATATTTCCATTCATCCTGGAAAGCTAAAATGCCTTAAATGCAAACATTTACATTGTTTCTTGAAACCATCGTGCTACGCAGAATGGAACTGCAAATTCTTCTTTATGACATCTCCAAAAAAAAAAAAAAATCCGACCTTTACATTTTACCCATTTGCACAAAGACTGAATTTTTTTTTTTTTTAAAGGAAAGTGCTTGTATTGATGACATGATAATGATTAGCTGTCTGGTGATGGCTCAGGAATCCATTTGTGTTCATTTTAGCTTCGGCCTCCCCCAGTATCTCTATAGGGCTGAATTGCTTGTGATTTTAACCTTTATGGAAGCTTTTAAAGACGAGTGCTTTACCGATAATTAAAAACAGGACAATTGAAAGGTTTCGGTCTTGTGGTCCCTTGTTTGCAGATGCTAAGCGACGTTGTGACAATTCAGTTCTGGGTAGAAATATGTAAAGAATTCGCTCTTCCTGGGTTTTTATATCGGGAACTGGTTGATCTGCATATTTCAAAAACAATGAGTAACACTTTCCATTCAATTTCACCCTTCTTTGTATTGGGGCACAGTTCTTGGTAAGTTAGGATAGTAAAGTGGTTCAGAATTTTGAGAAGGGAGAGAACACGATGTGAAATAAATCTATAGTACTGGAGGCGTTTATAAACCGTGGACGTCTTCTACTTCATCTAATTATCCAGAGCTTCATCATCTCCAGAAGACATCTGTTGGGAGCAAGAGGCTGACTCTGTAAAACCGCTTAGTGAGGGCTGTCAAAGCGCTGTGAAGCGGTATATAAGTCTAAGTGCTATTGCTATTGCTATCACTATTGATATTACATGGAATTCTGGCACTGGCCATAGTCTTTCCCAATAGCCAAATCTTTGATGTTAGCTTAGTTGAAAGATACTTTCATTCTTTCTCCAGGAATGGAAGAAGAATTATTGTATTTACTTTTATGCCAACCAGAGCAATTTATGGCATTGAACTTTCTAGAGGATTCTCCAGGGTAGCATGAACAGTAATGAACGACTCCTGATTTACTTATCAATTACAGTTCCTTAGAGCCATCTCAAGAACAACCCATCAGCTTCCTACTGCTTGCTTTAGGGTCTTGTTTACACCTTTCGATCTCTTTTCATTCTGGTTTTGGTTTTCCTTCAAACAGCCTCGGAAGAAGGACCAAACAGGAACCAAGTTATACGTCTCCATCATTCGTAAACGTAGCCTCATCCCACGCTATGCTGGAGTGAACTACACAGGGCTGGAGGTGAGGGAATTAAAAAAATTATTAAATCTGAGCCGTTGAGAAGATGGGTCACAGAGAGCTTCATGAATAAGTCAAATGAAGCTAGACATGCATTTTGTTTTGTTTTTTAAGATGAGAAGTTTGACCATTGCTTCCCTTTGGTGTCAAAATGTGTGTGATATGAAGCATCCTTTGTGGAAACTAGGCAGTGGAAGAGGGTAGAGGCGGGAGAAATATCTAGACTGAACAGCCAAGAAGTAGATGCAGACAGAGATAAAGATCCAAGAGAGGAATATGGGAGGCAAGTAAAAAAAAAAAGCATAGCAATTAAAGTATTGAAGCGGGCAAGAGATGATGGATAGATGATTTCTCTTTTTTGTTGTTCTGATTTGCTTTGCTTTTTCTCTCTCTTCTTTTTTAGGTAGGTGACATGGCTAGAAGTTAGGTAGGATAGAAAGAATACGTTTCTTAATAAAGGGTGACATGATTAAAAGCTAGAATAAGAGATAGAGAAAGAGGGAATATTAGTGTATACACTTTTATATAATGTAATAAAAGCAATAACAAGAGAAAACATGGAATAATTGAATAATGACAGACTGCAAGTTAATATAAATGTGTATTATTATTAGAAATATAGAAGTTGGTTGAATGTAATAACTATGATTAATTACTAGTTTTATTTCTATTAGAATGTATGACACCATATATATATGTGTGTGTGTGTGTGTGTGTGTGTATGTATAATGTATAAAATAAAAAACTTGAAAAAAATGAATAAGTCAAATGGAGCTAGACATGTGATTATTTTTTTTTAAGATGAGAAATTTGACCATTGCTTCTCTTGGTGTCAAAATATGTGTGATATAAAGCATCCTTTAAACTGGTCAAAAATGGTTGTTTACTTTACAAACAACTATTTCTCGACCATTTAATGATGCCTCAAATCGTACAAATTTAGAACTTGGTGGACTTTGAAAGAAACTGAATTTCAAAGAAATCGAAAGAACGACTTCCATGGATGATTTTTAAAAAAAAATTCAATAATTCAAGTAATCGACACAATTCTACAGGGGAAGAGTTCAGGGAATATTCTTTCCCACAGTGCTTCGGGAATCTGTTCCTGATCTTTTCCATTTTCATTCCAATTTTAGGTTTTCCTCAAGGGGATCAATGAACCTCTTGCGCAGCCTGATGGCAAAGTCAAAGCCGTTGCTAGAATAGTGAATAACCTTGGAGCCTACATGTGAGTAATAGATCCTGAATAAGGAATGTGCATGCATGTGTGAGGTGGCAACTTCATTGGGATTGTGTACTAACTTCCTGAAGATCCAGAGAAGAAGCAGTGAGGCTTCCTAAGAAAGTTGACCTCTAAATGACATGAATGGGGACGATGGCAATTCACTGCAAGCTCTCTGGTTTTTCTGAATCATGTGATACAACTCAGGGGTGAAATCCAGCAGGTTCTGACAGGTTCTGGAGAACCGGTAGTGGAAATTTTGAGCAGTTCGGAGAACCGGAAAATACCACCTCTGCCTGGCCCCAGAGTGGGGTGGGAATGGAGATTTTGGAATATCCTTCCTCAAGAGTGGGGAGGGAATGGGGATTTTGCAATATCCTTCCTCAAGAGTGGGGAGGGAATGAGGATTTTGCAGTATCCTTCCCCTGGAGTGAGGTGGGAATGGAGATTTTGCAATATCCTTCCCCAGGAGTGGGGAGGGAATGAGGATTTTGCAGTATCCTTTCCCTGGAGTGGGGTGGGAATAGAGATTTTGCAGTATCCTTTCCCTGCCACGTCCACCAAGCCATGCCCACAGAACCGGTAGTAAAATAATTTGGATTTCTGATATAAATCCTGATATAACTATCTCCTTCTAATTTTTTCTGCCCAGGGATTGGTTCAGAAAAGTCAAAAGTTATGCAAGGCCATGAATATTTCTTGCACCAGGATTTGCCTGGATTTTTTTTTTTTAGCTTGGTAGAATTTACTTCTGAGCAGCCTGCATTGTACGGTACAATGAGCCCTGTGGAGTAATACAGGACTTCCTTTTGAGAAGATGTCTACAGGACTGGGATTATGCTGCAATTAGAATCCTCTCGCCAACAATCAAATGGCGGCCAAGCTGTGGATAGGAAATGATTCTTCTGCCCTTTTCATTCTTTTTAAAGACAGGAGATGCACGCTCGGTTGCCTGATGCCCCTCCAGTTCCCTTGACCGTGGTGAACTTCCCAGATCCTGTAATGGAGGATTTTGATGTCCCTCGGGTGAACAACCATGGATATCCACAGGTAGGAGAAAAGAGGGCGAGAAAAGATCTGGCTGAGTGGCTGATGGAACCCATGGACTTAGAGCTGGAGAAGGAGGTGGAGAAGAACAAAGAAATACATTGGCCATCTCTTCCAAAGCCAGATCGGTTTATGATGCAGTTATGTTGGGTTGATGTCAACCCAACACAAAATGTCAAAACCAAGCATGAAACATGGTGATTCATCCAGGCTGAGATCTTTATTGTTTTACACCTATAGACAGGTGTAATATACTCTTGGGAACTATTAAGGAGAGGCTGTCTTCACCCTCTTTCTCACACACACAATAATAGCCAGTTGCTTCTTACTTTTCTAGACTGCACCCCTCCCTCCTGAGGATCTACTTCCTCACTCCGTTCCATCAGAGTTACAAAGGGAGTGGTGGAGACATTATTCCTGTGATCTTAACAGTGGTGGGTTTCAAATTTTTTTTACTACCGGTTCTGTGGGTATGGCTTGGTGGGTGTGGCATGGTGGGCATGGCAGGGGAAGGATACTGTAAAATCTCCATTTCCACCCCAATCCAGAGGAAGGTTACTGCAAAATCCCCATTTCCTCCCAATCAGCTGGGACTCGGGAGGCAGAGAATAGATGGAGGCGGGGCCAGTCAGAATTTTTACTACCGGTTCTCCGAACTACTCAAAATTTCCGCTACCGGTTCTTCAGAACTGGTCAGAACCTGCTGAAACCCACCTCTGGATCTTAAGACCATGAAGAATGTTGGACATCCATCACAAGTGAAATCATGTCCTCCAGAGATATTCTTGCCACTCTTTGGAGCTGGAATGAGTTGCAGAAGCTGTGATGGGAGATATATATTTGTAAAGCTGTCCACACGGGCCCACAGGAAGCCGTAGACAATGAGTAGAACATAAGGATAGCAAGAAGTCGGTCCTAGGTTCATGAATATTACTTCCCGGGGATGGGGAGGGGGGGGAAGAGAAGAGAAGAGAAGAGAAGTCCCTGTTCCATCCGGTTTCAAATGACAATCCTCCGATGAGGCACGTTGCCAGCTGGAATTGGCGAAAAAGAAGAAAAAAATGATACAGGATGTCGATAGGGTGTTATAAATGATTTAGTGGAGCCATCTGGGCTGTGAAAATATATTCCCTTCCCTCGCTTTTTATCAGTTTTGTTAAGGACCTGAAATCAATGTTGGTTTTGTGCAACAGAGACCAGGAGCTACCTGGGAGTAGGGATAGAAAACCTCCAGCCCAAGGCTCCCTTTTCGATTTCACTTGGATTTTTCCTATTTCAGTCAATTTTCTCCAAGCAGGAATGCTCTTGGTGAGGAGGAGGGCTGTAGGTGAATATGTGTAGCTCTTCTGTGAAGGGGGAAAAAAAAACCACACACACACACACACACACACACACACACACACACAAAATTGAATCTGTGCAGAGGAAGCAAAATTCAATCTGCTAAGAAAGAGCAAAATTGAATCACAAGGCTGACCTCCAGACCTTGAGTTTCATTTAAATACCGCTTTGGGAAAGTCCTGTGCAGTTGCTCTCAGCAGGTCCAAGAGAAAGGACACCGATGGGTGATGATGGCTTTTGTCCCTTTACCAGAGTTGGAAGGGACCTTGGAGGCCTTCTAATCCAACTCCCTGCTCAAGCAGGAGACTTGAGAAGAGAAGAGAAGAGAAGAGAAGAGAAGAGAAGAGAAGAGAAAGAAAGAGAGTAGAGTAGAGTAGAGTAGAATAAAATAGAGTAGAGTAGAGTAGAGTAGAGTAGAGTAGAGTAGAGTAAGTAGAGTAGAATAGAATAGAATAGAATAGAATAGAATAGAATAGAATAGAATAGAATAGAATAGAATAGCATTCGGAATGGAATGGAATGGAATGGAATGGAATGGAATGGAATGGAATGGAATAGAATAGAATAGAATAGAATAGAATAGAATAGAATAGAATAGAATAGAATAGAATAGAATAGAATAGAATAGAATAGAATTCGGAATGGAATGGAATGGAATGGAATGGAATGGAATGGAATGGAATAGAATAGAATAGAATAGAATAGAATAGAATAGAATAGAATAAATAGAATAGAATAGAATAGAATAGAATAGAATAACAGAGTTGGAAGGGACCTTGGAGGTCTTCTAGTCCAACCCCCTACTCAAGCAGGAAACCCTACACCATTTCAGACAAATGGCTGTCCAACCTCTTCTTTAAAATTTCCAGTGATGGAGGCACCCACAACATCTGGAGGCAAATTGTTCCACTGATTCATTGTTCTCATTGTCAAGAAATTTCTCCTTAGTTCTAGGTTGCTTCTCTCCTTGATTTGTTTTCATCCATTGCTTCTTGCCCTGCCCTCAGGTGCTTTGGAGAATAGGTTGGCCCCATCTACCTTGTGGCAGCCCCTCAAATATTGAACGATTAATCAGTGGAACGACTTGCCTCCAGAAACTGTGGGTGCTCCATCACAGGAGGTTTTTAAGAAGAGATTGCACAACCATTTGTGTGAAATGGTAGAGGGTTTCCTGCCTGAGCAAGGAGTTGGAGTAGAAGACCTCCAAACTCCCTTCCAATTCAATTCAATTCAATTCAACTCAACTCTACTCTACTCTACTCTACTCTACTCTACTCTACTCTACTCTACTCTACTCTACTCTACTCTACTCTATTCTATTCTATTCTATTCTATTCTATTCTATTCTATTCTATTGCATTCCATTCCATTCCATTCCATTCCATTCCATTCCATTCTTCTAGACTTACATGAAAATATATATGTTGGTTTGAGACCATCTTCCCACTGCTGACTCGTATTGTCTTCCGTTCTGCTATTCTGTTCAGTTATTGGAAGGCTGCTATCATGTCCCTCCTAGTCCTTCTTTTCACTAGACTAGCCAAACCCAATTCCTGCAACCGTCCTTCCTATGTATTATTCATATGTATTTTTATAACTGTGAGGGGGGGGGCTGATCTCTTCAATAGAGTTGGAATCATCCCAAATGAGGGTGGAAAGCCGCCCCCACCCCCCAAAGTCACCATTTCTAAATGCGCCCATCTCCAGCCTTTCAAAGCAGCAAGACGTCGTTGGGGTACGAATGGGGTTAAGCCTACCCTACCCAAGCGGTTTGCTTTACATACCGTAAATTACACTTTCTGGGCATCAGGATTGCACTTAGCAATTGAATTACAAATTAATCCTCAGGGGAAATTGAACTATCACGTCCTCTCTCTCTCTCTCTCTCTCTCTCTCTTTCTTTCTCTCTCCCCGCCTTCTCTCTCCAACCCCCCTACCCCAACCCACACACAATCTTTCTTCCTATGTCCTCTTCAGTCAATTGTTTAACCCTCGGGTGTCCGTGCTGAGCCGTAGTATCCATTTCTGAACGGCGATTCCTTTCCTTACTCTGCTGATCAGGTCACCCGATAGCCGGCAAGATCTACACGGAAACTCATTCAAGTCCCAGTTTAAGGCATCAATCCGTGACTGTGTGAAATGCCATCAGTTTGTCTGTCCTCGGGCAAGCGAAGGGGTGCAAAAAAAAAAAAAAGCAGAAGAAAGCCAGAAAATTTACATTCACCCACCCACACAACCTTATACAGTTTCTGGAGAATCCTGGACGTTGAAGTCTTCCAGTTGCCAAGGTTGAGAAATACTCAAGAAAGAAATCCCATCTCTTTCTCTTTCTCTTTGGGATATTTCCCAAAGAGAAATCCCTGAAATGATGACTCCGTGGATCATGAGTTCTTTAGAAAGTGTGCTGATAAAATTTTGAGTCTCCTGGCATCATTTTTCCATCAAGAACATAGAATAATAGGGTTGTAAGGGACGTTGGAGATAGAAATAGAATAACAGAGTTGGAAGGGACCTTGGAGGTCTTCTAGTCCAACCCCCTGCCCAGGCAGGAAACCTTACATCACTTCATACAAATGGTTATCCAATATCTTTGTAAAAATTTGCAGTGTTGGAGCATTCACAACTTCTGGAGGCAAGTCGTTCCATTGATGAATTGTTCTCACTGTCAGGAAATTTCTCCTTAGTTCCAAAGTTGCTTCTCTCCTTGATGAGTTTCCACCCATTGCTTCTTGTCCTGCCTTCAGGTGCTTTGGAGAATAGCTTGACTCCCTCTTCTTTGGGGCAGCCCCTGAGATACTGGAAGACTGCTATCATGTCTCCCCTAGTCCTTCTTTTCATCAAACTAGACATACCCATTTCCTGCAACTGTTCTTCATATGTTTTAGCCTCCAGGCCCCTCATCATCTTTGTTGCTCTTCTCTGCACTCTTTCTAGAGTCTCCACATCTTTTTGACATCGTGGTGACCAAAACTGAATGCAGGATTCCAAGTGTGGCTTAGATCCTCTAATCCAACTGCCTGCTCATGGCAGGAGATCCTATTCCATTCTGGACAAATGGCTGTCCTGTATCTTCTTGAAAACCTCCAGGGTTGGAGCATCCACAACTTCTGGAAGCAAGCCATTTCAACTCTTTCATGGTCCTCGCGGTCAGGAAAGTTCTCCTTAAGTTCTAGGCTGAGCAAGGGGTTGGACTAGAAGACCTCCAAGGTCCCTTCCAACTCTATCGTGATTGATGGATGATGACGGTGCTTGGTTAGAAGAATGCCCGGTGCCCCTTGGCCTCCATAATCTTTTCTATCATGGGAAGACTAGCAGAAACTCATCCAACAGGAGCGGGATTTCAGATTAGTTGGTCGGAGTGGCTATTAGTTGAGTTTTGCAGCATTGACCCCAACAGTTCAATGGACCTCAACAATTCAACGGCATTAAAGTTGTCAGAAGACATTTGGCCGGGATGTCTGAGTTCTAGGCTGCCCTGGGAATTGGGGTGGGTGGGGGAGAGAGAGAGCGAGTGCGGAGGATAACCTTCGGGGTTATGCGTGTGACTTAATCATCGAGGGCTATGATTGTATGGATTTTATGTCCCAGCCTTTTGTAAATCACTGGAAGTCCTCGTGGGGGCTGGAGGTATGTAAATGCTATTATTAAATGAATAAGTAATGATGTTCCTTCAGTGTTTGTTTTGCCTAAGAAAACTCTGGGTTGTAAATGTGTGTGTGTGTGTGTGTGTGTGTGTGTGTGTGTGTGTGAGAGAGAGAGAGAGAGAGAGAGAGAATGGGAGGAAGAGAGGGAGAGTGGAAAAGATGGAGGAAAAGAATGAGAGAAGGAAGGAGCGAGGGAGGAAGAGAAGGAAGGAGGGAGGGAGGGAAGAAAAGGGAGGAAGGAGGGAGGGCAGGAGGGAGGGAGGAAGAGAGAGAGACGGAGGAAAGAAAAGAAGGAGTGAAGAAGAGAGGGGGAAGGAGAGAGGGAAGGAGGAAGAGAGAGAGGGAGAGAGGAAGGTAAAGAATGAGAGAGAGAAGGGGGAAGGAGGGAGGGAGGAAGAGAAAGAGAGAGGGAAGGAGGGAGAGAGGAAGAGAAAAAGAGAGGGAAGGAGGAAAGAAAGGGGAGGAAAAGAGGGAGAGAGGAAGAGAGAGAGGGATGGAAGGAGGGATGGAAGGAGGGAGGGAGGAAGAGAGAGGGAAGGAGGAAGAGAGAGGGGGGAAGGGAGGGAGAAAAAAGGGAGGGAGGGAGGGAGAAAAAGAGAGAGAGACTATGTTTAATCAATATACATCATTTGATTAAGCCATTATCTGGGTTTGTGCCACACAAGGAAGAGAGAGAGAGAGAGAGAGAGAGAGAGAGAGGGAGGGAGGGAGAGAATCCAGACATTTCTATTGCCGTTTTCTTCTCGTGTATACTTCTATGGGCAGTAGCTACATTGTCCAGTCCTGGGACAGTGAATGTTGAAGGATGACGGCCTTCTGAGCCACAAAAAAGTCCCTAATGTGCAAATTAGATCCGTTCAGGGGTGGGACTGCTGGGGGTTCGCACGGGTTCGGGAGAACCTCTAGCTAAGTTTCTGTGCAATTTGGAGAACCCCCAAATCCCACTCCTGGCTGGCCCCTCCCACCCCACACGGCCCGTTTTGGATGCAGGTCAGGGCAGGGTGTGCATGGAGGCTCAAACACAGGCCTACCAGAAGTTCAGGAAGTTCTAGAGGGCCTCTGGAGCCTGGGGAGGCCATTTTCGCCCTCCCGGAGGCTGAAGGAAAGCCTCTGGAGCCCAGGGAGGGCAAAAACACCCCTCCACCGTGGTGCAGGAGGCCGACTAGGCCACGCCCACCATGGCCACGCCCACCCAGCAACCAGGCAGAGAACCCCTTGCTAAAATTTTTGAAGCCCATCCCTGGATCCGTTCTTATAAAATATGTAGATCAAATGAAATGTGAAATAATGGTCCCTAAAGGAACGATCGTAAATTAAGGATTACCTGTATTAGATTCAGGAGTTCAAGGGAAATCCGGAACTGACAAAGTATCATGTTTCTCCTTATTAAGGAGCAAAAACAGATGATGGTTCCTGATTTCACGCTTACTTCTTTGTAGGGTTTGGGGGTGGAGACATCTGATGAACCCAAGAAAGAGAATGCTTGATTTGTTCGACTTTTGATCTGCTCCCACCCTGGTTCCTATGCTCTTTCTTGGAGTCATCTATATACGGGATCTGAAAACGAGGATGTTCGGCAAATATTTTATCTCTGGCTTCCTGCGCAATTAAATTTTATGGCGAAATTGTTATGCTGTGTAATACGTAAAGCTTTCCTCCTTTTTATTGCCTGTTTATTTTTTTTTATGGCCTTTTCAGCAAGCTATTAGAAAGACCGTGCAGTCTTTCTCCGTGTGAACTCAGCCAAGCAGACTATTAAGGTTTCTTGATTCAACACCGATGTTCATCATCTGTGGTGCCTCTTGAGTTTTAGATTAGATTAACAGAGTTGGAAGGGACCTTGTAGGTCATCTAGTCCAACCCCCCGCCCAAGCAGGAGAGCCTACACCATTTCTGACAGATGGCAGTCCAGTCTCTTCTTGAAAGCTTCCAGGGATGAAGCTCCCACAACTTCTGAAGGCAACTTCTGTTCCATGGGTTGATTGTTCTCACTGTCAGAAAATTTCTCATTTCCAGGTTGAATCTCTCCTTGATCTGTTTCCATCCATTATTCCTTGTCTGGCCTTTGGGTGCCTTGAAAAATAGCTTGACCCCCTTCCTGTCTGTGGCAGCCCCTCAAATATTGGAAGACTTCTCTCATGTCTTCCCTGGTCCTTCTCTTCACTAGACTAGCCAAGCCCAGTTCCTGCAACCTTTCATCGTATATTTTAGCCTCCAGTTCCCTAATTATCCTGGTTGCTCTTCTCCGCACTTTTTCTAGCGTCTCAACAACTTTTTTATAGTGTGGTGACAAAAACTGGATGCAGTACTGTAGGTGTGGTCTTACTAAGGCTTTATAGAGTGGTATTAGCACTCCGCTTGATCTTGATTGTATCTCTCTATCTTTTTCATCCTATCTTTTCCCAACCTCAGGTGTCTTCGCTCGGTGGCCCTCCTGAACAACCCATGTGGAATACTTCCTTCCTGTTTCAAGGAAGGGATGGTGCTACCGCTTTTTCGGATGATACGGCCTTGCTAATTGAATACTACAAATCAAGTAAGTCCCAGGTGTGGGACAAGGAGCTGGCATCTTCTTTCTAAGGGATGAGAATGAGCCCAAGAAGCTTGCCAACTCTTCCCAGATCATAGGTCATCATAAGAACCATGCCGTAAGGCATGGTAGCATCTAAGATAGGTTCCAGAGCTGATAGAAGACTCTCTTTGTAGCTAGATAATTAGTTCAGACTTAGTTAACAAGGTGGAAGAGTATAGTCATAACTGTTGTGGGCCGTCAGCAGCCTGTGCAGCTAGTAGCTGATTCCGACAGCGAGGAGGCTAATGTGGTGCTGCACCAGCAGCCTGTGCAGCTGGCACTCGAGTCAGACAATGAGGAGGCTGGAGAAGATGTGGTGCCAGAGGCGGGGATTCAGCCAGGGCCTTCAGAACCTCCAGAAGCTCCTATAAGTGAAGAGGACGAACAGGAGGAGCCTCTTCTCGATGCATGGGCACGCAGAGCTGCCAAAAGGCAGGAGTGGCTCCTCAGGAGGAGGTATCCTCGAGAGTAAGGCTTGGGGCTAATTGGCCACTCCCTTAGCCTATTTAAGGAGGAACGCCGACTGAAGCAATTTGCAGGGAACAACTTCGTTCACTCTCCTTTGTGTCTTGATCTTAGTTCTTTGCCAATTGCTTCTGGGCTTTCTGCCAACCCTAGTAAGAGTACGATTATTTATTCTTTGGATTCTTGTAGGCTGTTAAGAAAGTGAATTAACAGCCTCTGTTTGAAAAAGACTGATTTTTTTCAGAATGAAGTCTTAAGAAGAATTTGATAATGAGCAGATCCTGAGAAAGACAAATCACTTCGTTTTGGTTGATCTTTCCTCTACAAAGTAAGCTAACCCACTCTTTATTCTTCTCCAACACTGCCAGCACCAGGAGACGATCTGGAAGGCACATCAACGTTTTTAGGCTACTCCGTGTTGCCACTGACCAACCGAGTTTACCGAAAGCTTGCGGCAGACAGTAGCCGAAGTGGAATTAGGGTAGAAAATCTACCCATTCAGGTAGGAATGGATGGATCAGATTATATTGGAATAATATCGGGGAGGGTGGGGGGGTTAATGGGTGAATTCCAGCACATTTGTGCTCCGGGTCATTCCCTTCCCACTGGGCCAATTTTAAGATGTATGGACTTCAAACTCTCAGAAAGCCATGTTGGTTGGGGAATTCTGGAGATTGAAGTCCACACATCTCAAAGTTGCCCAGATTGGAAAACATGGTTCTAGAATAGTGTGGTATTGGTTCTGTCTCAAACTGTCAATTTAAATGACATGGATACATCTTGGAAGAGGGTTCATCTTAAATCTTTGGAATAAGTCAACGGATGAATGAAACTCTTGATGACCAAATGAAGTTCTTCCAGTCTTTTGATGACCATTTTGTGGAGATAAATAGAGAAGAATTCTTGTTCCCCTATGCTTCTTGAAAACTTTTTGAATATCTCCTTTTTAAAAAAATGCAGTTTAGGTTAGCTGGGCCTTTAATCTTCTCCAGCAAAGCAATTCTTCAACATTCAGAAGGAAACTTGCATAATCAGTTTTATTAAGGCTTTAGAATTCTTCTAAGGAAACTCGAGTAACAAATTCTACATACTGTATAGATTGTGTTAATTGATTTTGCCTTTTACTTATTATTTCCCCAGGATACCACTATGAAAACCACGTCTGGTGGACTCCCAACTGTCCAACTTGGTCTTCAGTTGATCAATTCAGAGGTAAGGAAAAAGCAATTCGCAATGACTTAGTAGCTTCCTACCAGAATGTCAAATGTCTTGATTGCAGTCAATCCTTTGGCTTAAGTGGTCATAATCCATACGGGACTGGAAAAATGTATATTTCTCATTCTTAGTTTCATGTATCGCAGAAAAATAGGGATGTGGAGAAAGAAAGGGAGGGAGGGAGAGAGACAGAGAGAGAGAGAGGAAAGCGAGAGAGAGGAAAGAGAGAGAGAAAGACAGGAGAGAGGGAGAGGGAGACAGAGAGAGAGAGGGAGAGAGAGACAGGAGAGAGACAGAGAGAGAGAGACGAGAGAGAGAGAGAAAGGAGAGAGAGAGAGAGGAGAGAGAGAGGGAGAGAGACAGGAGAGAGGGAGAGACAGAGAGAGAGAGAGAGAGAGACAGGAGAGAGACAGAGAGAGAGAGAGACAGGAGAGAGAGAGAGAAAGGAGAGAGAGACAGAGAGACAGGAGAGAGGGAGAGAGACACACAGAGAGAGAGAGAGAGAGAGAGACAGGAGGGAGAGAGACAGAGAGAGAGACAGGAGAGAGTTCACACAACACTTTAAACTCTTTAAGTCTAAGTTAAGAAAACACATTGCGAAATAAACCATTTTATTATTGACTGTGATAGCCCAATTCTTGTTAATGCTACGAGTGGGTTACCGCAAAAGGCCGACTCAAAAACTACCCCATCTCATTTGACACCTGATCACATCATTTTTGAGAACTCAGAAAAAGAGAAAACTCTTGGAAAGAGAGAGACAGGAAGGTGTTGGGAGAAAAGGCAATAACGCAACAGGTTTCCTAGCCTCTAAATCTAGCCGTGCTTGGAATTCAATTCTTCTCGGGAGCAAAATAATTCATATTCAACCAATACACTGGAAAGACGTCTTCCGTTCAAAAATCGATGCATTTCCAAGCTTGTGCAAGGCTCGCTCGGCATACGAAAGCTATGCAAATGTGGTGTTTGCCTAAAGAGGCATTCTTGCGGAGGGAAATGCACAACAGATGCAGCACAATGTCCCCTAATCCTTTGGCTGTTTCGAACCTACCATCTTGCTAGACCTCTGCCTGTCTGTCTCCTGGTCTGTGGCCGGATTGAATTAAGCTTCCTTCCATCTCCTCCTCGCCATTCTATCCAAGCGCCGTAAAAGCATTAGAAACCCCAGGCGGCTGGGCAGCCGACTCTAGTAGAGTAGCGGGGCCTCCTAAATCCATTTCATGAATATAGATGATGTTTGACATGGCCCTGGGAAGCACCTCCTGGCTGCCTTCCCTTTCTCCTCTCCGCAGGCTAGCAGTCTTGAAACAACGTAGGTTGAGAGCAATTCATAGCTAGGCACCCGTTTCAGCTCGCCGGGGCTAAATTACATTGTGGAAGGATGGGGGTGGAAATAAGAAAGGGAAGAGGAGAAAAGGGAGAGGGAGGAAAACACAATAATTTTGCAACCAACCGTTGACCCACAAACAACAGGACCAGGCAGAACAATTTGCAAGACGGGATGCGGTCTTCAGGATGACTCAAGAAGCATTGCATCGCCGCAGCCCAAATTCAACCTCTTTCGTGGCTGCATCTGATATCATAATTCATATTCGGAGGATAATTAGAACTGCAGAAAAAAAAAACAATTACTACCAACCTGCCTTCCATTGAGGACCTGTATACTGCACGAGTCAAAAAGAGGGCTGGGAAAATATTTACAGACCCCTCGCATCCTGGACATAAATTGTTTCAACTCCTACCCCCAAAACGACGCTATAGAGCACTGCACATCAGAACAACTAGACACAAGGACAGATTTTTCCCGAACGCCATGACTCTGCTAAACAAATAATTCCCTCAACACTGTCAAACTATTCACTAAGTTTGCATTACTATTAATCTTCTCATCGTTCCCATCACCCATCTCCTCCCACTTATGACTGTATGACTGTAACTTTGTTGCTGGTATCCTTAAGATTTATATTGACTGTTTCCTTATGACTATCATTAAGTGTTGTACCTTATGATTCTTGACGAATGTATCTTTTCTTTTATGTACACTGAGAGCCTAGGCACCAAGACAAATTCCTTGTGTGTCCAATCACACTTGGCCAATAAAGAATTCTGTTCTGTTCTATATAAGAAGGGGAGGAGCTTGCATCCTTCACCCCCAGCCACACATAGGTGGAAACTCTTGGGAACCAATGAAGGATCAAGTCAACTCCAAGGTTACATTTCTGAGCTGTGTTCTGGAGCTTTTGGCTTCTTCGTTGACTTTGCTGGTCAGAAGGTCGCAAAAGGGGATCCGTCATAAATGCGAGTCAGTGGCCAAGCCTCCGAAATTTGATCACATGATCACGGAGGGTGTTGCAACGGCCATCAAATGTGCAAAACGGTCATCAGTCACTTTTTCGGTGCCACTGTAACTTTGAAGGCCACTAAGCGAATTGTTGTAAGTCAAGGACTCCCTGTAGATCAGTGTTGCTCAACCTTGGAAGCTTGAAGATGCTACTAAGGGTGAGAAACACCGCTGTAGATAGAAGACTAACGTTGAATCTACAGGAAGCCGTGATGCTTCTGTCTTCTTTCTTCCTAACTTTGGCCAAACTTAAACCTGGCAGGTTTAATTCCTTTGCTCTTTTCATCCGGAGCCCCCTCCCCTTCCCACGGTTTGGGGCCGGGCTGTCTGGGGAAGCACTTGGGAGAGAAGGTGGGGGGTGGGGGTGGGGTCTGCACGTGATGAATTATTCACAGGGGCGTCAGTAAGTGCAGAATTAATCCCCGTTTCTTCCAGCTGGCTGCTGCACTAAATTATCACTCCTGGTCATGCGGGAAAATGCTGCAGAATTCATTTAGCTGATTATTGTTTTGATCTCGGAAGGACTGTCGGTTGCGGAGCCCCTCCCCCACTGGTGCTAATAAATATACAGAGGGAGGGAGGGAGGGAGGGAGAGAGAGAAGAGGAGGAGGAGGAGGAGGAGGAGGAGGAAGAAGAAGAAGAAGAAGAAGAAGAAGAAGAAGAAGAAGAAGAAGAAGAAAGAAGAAGAAGAAGAAGAAGAAGAAGAAGAAGAAGAAGAAGAAGATGAGATGAAGATGAAGAAGAGGAAGAAGAAAGAAGAAGAAGAAGAAGAAGAAGAGAAGAAGAAGAAGAAGAAGAAGAAGAAGAAGAAGAAGAAGAAGAAAAAGGAGGAAGGAGGAGGAGGAGGAGGAGGAGGTGTTTTTTCCTTCCCCTAGTACAACTTTGGAACCACCAATATCCTCAACCTTTACAACAACAATCTCTGGCCAGGACCTTAGGTCCTACAAACGTCTGCCCATCTTCCATTGAAAGCAAGAACCTCACAACAATGTATTTTAATTTATTTGACAGAGGCAGGGGGGGAGGGGAAGAGGAAGAGAGACCCAGAGGGAGAGAGGGAGAGAGGCAGAGAGGCAGAGAGAAGAAGAGTGAAAGAGAGGGAGGGAGGGAGGGAGAGAAGAAGAGAGGGAGAGGGAGGGAGAAGGAGAGAGGGAGAGAAGAAGAGAGGCAGTGGGAGAGGAAGAGAGAACGAAAGAGAGGGAGGGAGGGAGGGAGAGAAGAGAGGGAGAGGGAGGGAGAAGGGGAGAGGGAGAGAAGAAGAGAGGAAGTGGGAGAGGGAGAGAGAACGAAAGAGAGGGAGAGAAAGAGAGGGCGAGAAGAAGAGAGGGAGAGGGGGGAGAAGGAAAGAGGGAGAGAAGGAAGGAGAGAGAGGAGAGAAGAAGAGAGGAAAGAGCGCTCCATAGCATCGGACCGGGGTATCTACGAGACCGCCTTCTGCCACCAGTAGCCTCTCACCGACCAGTACGCTCCCATAGAGAGGGGCTCCTCAGGGTGCCGTCGGCCAAACAGTGTCGACTGGCGGCCCCCAGGGGGAGAGTCTTCTCTGTGGGGACACCTACCATCTGGAACGAGCTCCCCCCAGAGATACGGAGGATCCGGACCTGCGCACGTTTCGCTGTGCTCTCAAAACTTTTCTATTTCAGCAAGCTGGCCTGGCCTAACTCCCATCTTTTAAATTTTTTAAATTTTTCAATTTGTGATTTTATAAATTGGGTGTTTTAATCTGTGTTTCGGCCAAAATATTTAATAATTTTAAGGGATTTTTTTAATATTTGTATTATCTGTATTTTATCTTGGCTGTTCACCGCCCTGAGTCCTTCGGGAGTAGGGCAGTATAGAAATTTGATTAATAAATAAATAAATAAATAAGATCAGAACAAATGCAAAATAATGTATTATTCCGTGTATTAGGGAATCGAGGGTGATATGATGGCCATCTTCCAATATTTGAGGGGCTGTCACGAAGAAGAGGGGCTCAACTTGTTCCCCAAAGAACCAAAGAGCAGGACAAGAAGTAGCAGAGGGAAATGTATCAAGGAGGGACCCAATCTAGAACTAAGGAGAAACTTCCTGACAGTGAGGACAATTAACCAGCGGACAGCTTGCCTCCAGAAGTTCTGGGTGCTTCAACACTGGAGGATTTTAAGAAGAGTCTGGAAAACCACGTGACTGAAATGGTTTTCCTGCTTGAGCAGGGGGTTGGACTAGAAGACCTCCAAGGTCCCTTCTGACTCTGCCATTCTGTTATTCCCAGGACACCATATGTACCTTCCCCTTTGCATTAAATGTCTGTGGGGTTTAATGCACTCTAATAAATAAATAATACATTCATACAAAGTAATACATTCATACAAAGGGTACTAAAATACATGTAATGCCCTTTGTATTAATGAAGAACTTCAAGGAGGATTGTAATTGAAGTTTCCCCAAAAAATATTCTATATGTAAAGCAAAGGGGGATCTGATACGGCCAATATTGACAAAGTTATTCCATTGACTACTCTGGAATTTTTTTTTGAAGAGTCTTTCCAGGTGATGGAGAAGAAGCTCACAGATGTAAAGGGTTAATTTGCCAGGTCAAAACGAGGCTCTCACTTACAGTACAATGAGGAATATAAAGGGATAACAAGTGACTCATTATAAACTTGCTGGCAGGATTCGTTCCTTGTTTGTTTCTGTTTAAACTCTGAGATTGCTGGCA